CGTAGTGGCACATGCCTGTAATCCCAGCTACTCAGGAGGCTGAGGCAGGAGAATTGCTTGAACCTGGGAGGCAGAGGTTGTAGTGAGCTGAGATTGCACCACTGCCCTCTAGCCTGGGCAACAAGAGCGAAACTCCATCTCCAAAACAAAAAACAAAAAAAAGAAATTGTATTCACCGTGGAGTATGGAAATCACACCACAAACTAATCCATGGTTTCTCTCTACTGTAGTCAAAGTGCCCTCAGAGGGGAATACCTACTTAAGTGTTAAAATAAGTTTAGTAGAAGCCACTCACTAAAGAGCCAGTGCTATGCACTATCTGATTAATCAATGAATCTGTCTTGATACACGCTAGTTATTGTTACAAGAGTTATGTTGGCCCAACAAATAGGTTACAAGAAATCAGTCTTACTGATTTTATGTTTCATGAAAGATTATTTTCCCTCCCACCATAATGAGGACATGGCCCTTTCCTTGATGACCAAAAAAAATTCCTGTTTTTCTCCATGAAACTAGAAGGCTCGCTTAGAAATTCAGCTCAGGCTGGGCACAGTGGCTCACACATGTAATCCCAGCACTTAGGGTGGCCAAGGCAGGTGGGATCGAGACCAACCTGACCAACATGGTGAAACCCCCATCTCTACTAAAAACACAAAAATTAGCCAGGCGTGGTTGCGCACGCCTGTAATCCCAGCTACTTGGGAGGCTGAGACAGGTGAACTGCTTGAACCTGGGAGGCAGAGGTTGCAGTGAGCTGAGATTGCGACATTGCACTCCAGCCTGGGTGACAGAGCAAGACTCAGTCTCAAAAAAAAAAAAAAAAAAAAAGAAAGAAATTCAGCACAAACTTGCTTGGATATTAATATTGAGGTTAGCAACAGTAATTAAGAAAACATGAAGTGAATTTTCCTGCCAGTCATTCAGCTGAGAATGAAGCCAGTAAGAACTCATTCTTGAGGCCACCGGGCACAGTGGCTCACATCAGTAATCCCAGTACTTTGGGAGGCTGAGGCAGGTGGATCTCGAGGTCAGGAGTTCAAGACCACCCTGGCCAACATGGTGAAACCCCGTCTCTACTAAAAATACAAAAGTTAGCTGGGCATGGTGGTGCATGCCTGTAATCCCAGCTACTCAGCCGCCTGAGGCAGGAGAATTGCTTGAACTGGGACCTGGGAGGCAGAGGCTGCAGTGAGCCGAGATTGCGCCACTGCACTCTAGCCTGGGCTTCAGAGTGAGACTCAGTCTTTTATTTATTTATTTTTTTTAATGTGTAAAAAGGCTTTATTTGCAGGGGAGCAGCAGTTTAATCAAAGAGGCCAAATCCCATGTCATCATCTGACTCTTCAGACTCCTCCTCCTTCTCATCTTTCTTCTCCTTGGCAGCAGGGGTGGAACCAGCAGCAGGAGCTGCAGAGCCTGGGGGAGCAGAGATGGCCACAGCCCCACTGGCAGGTAAGCTGGCAAGCTTGCCAATACATGAACCCAGTTCTCCAGACACCAAGCTTCTGGAGGAATCCTAGGAAATGGCCTCAGGGCCACCCTGAAGTCCAGTGAGAGCAGTGTGCCCCTCCTGCCCTGCTCCTGGCGTGTCTAGAAGCACCCATGGCGTTAGCCCACTGGAGCCCTGCTCACTCCTCGGGTGAGGCTTCTAGGGTGCTCTGGTCCACAAGCAAAACCTGGCAGGCCACAGGCTGACCAGCAGGGATTAGGATGGACCAGAGACTCAGTCTTTAAAAAAAAAAAAAAGAGGTTTTTTTTGTTTTGTTTTGTTTTTTGAGACAGAGTTTCAGCTCTGTCACCCAGGCTGGAGTGCAGTGGCGCAATCTCGGCTCACTGCAACCTCTGCGTCCTGAGTTCAAGCAGTTCTCACCTCTGCCTCCTGAGTAGCTGGGATTACAGGTGCCTGCCACCACGCCTGGCTAATTTTTGTATTTTTAGTAGAGACGGGAGCTTCACCATGTTGGCCAGGCTGGTCTTGAACTCCTGACCTCAGGTGATCCACCCGCCTCAGCCTCCCAAAGTGCTGGGATTATAGGCATGAGCCACTGTGCCCGGCCCAGAACTCATTCGTACTGAATGAAGGCTGGGGCGGTGGCAGGGGGTATTAATCACCAGAAAAACTCACACCACCCATAAGACAAAAAAGCAGGTCTCATTACTGAGCATCCAGACAAGTCCTAGTAGACTCACTTCCTGTCACCTTCCTAACTGTAAGGAGAGGAATGGCTCCCCAACAAAAGGCTGAGTCACCCGGAAGTGAATACCCACAGTGCAAGCCTCAGTCCCCATGCTGGAGAGCTTCAGGCTGTTTCACTGCAGTGTTTCCACTTGCAATGAAACGGCTCACTCTGGACACATAAATAGGTCCACAAGGAGAAAAGAAGTTCCGCTTAGGACTCTTAACAGAAAACCTGAAGGATCAGAACATAATGCCTCTTCCTTTAATTTGCCCATCAAACCAGAACATAGCCTAGGGACACTGGCAGGGGTGGGAGTGGACAGTGTGATGTGGACTCCATCCTCCCCGAGGCTATCCCTCTCTTAGCAGTAAGGATGCATGGGGAAACTCAGTTCTCACTAGCTTTCTCCCGAGATCAGATTCAAGATTGTACACACCCTATCACTTTAAAGCACTGACAAATTATTTATACATGTTTTCGACCTTTTATACTGTTAAATCTTTTAATCTTTTATACTGTTAAATTTTTAATTTAATGCTACTAACATTTATTTTAAAACTGAAGCAGGATCTGTTATTTTACAGAGATAACAAGCTTAACCATTTGATCATTATCAAATAGAGACAACATGCGTTAACCTGGACTAGAGATTGGCAAACCACCTAGGACTGATACAGTTTTTCCTGCCAGAGAGCTAAAGAAAATGGCCTCCCTTACCAGCACTTTCCATTTCCCAGCCTCTCCTAAAAGATGAGGTCATGCCAGACCATCCCGAATATTCACTCCCATGCCCACTCTACCCGCACAAGATTACATTTCCCAGACTGTCTCAAGTTTTGCTTCCTTTGAGAAGAATGGTACAGTGAAGGCCAGAAGCTAGGGGAGCAACTGGAGGCCAAATACCTGTGCCTCATCAATGACCCTTGTGAATGGATGCTTCCTTGTCCAGAGGTTAGAAGGGAGCAAAGCAGGATCCGCCCATATCAATGGAAGCACCTCTTCAGCCCAGGGATTCTTTGCAGTGCTGGCAGCAGGGAATGCTTCCTTATTAGCATTCCAAAACCACAAAGAGCAGACTGGGGCGGAGGCAAGCCTAGATAGGCAAGCATTATCTCACAGCCACTTCCACCTTTGCCTAGCGTCCTTGGCTAAAAGCCTACCAGTTCCTCGCACCTACCTGTTACTTCACCCAGAACTAGGGTAAGGACACTGGACTAGAAATAAGATTTGACCTTGTACAAGTCATCTTTCCAAATCCTGACTCTTCACAACTATAAAGGGGTCAGGGAGGGATGAGGATGATCAAATCTTACCTACTTTATTGGGGAGTAGAAAGAGCAACTCAAATCATTCATTCACTCAGTTACATTTACGGATGCGTTTTGGACACACTATTTGTGGAATGCTGCTGAAGAGCAAAGTCCTACCGAAGCACGCGTTATCTACTGGTGTCTCCTGAAGCTTGTTAGGCACCCCCAGGGACTCCACCTACTGCTGGGGACGAGGCAGCTCCGCTAGGATCCGTAGCCGCCTCTTGAGAAGCCCTGGTTACAGCTGCTTTAAGGCACAGGGCGTCCTCCCCCAGGAGCCCTAGACTGTACCAACTGCTTCTGGCGCTGGGGGACCCTTAAGACCTGGCCGCCACAGATGGCTCCATCAGGGCAAACTCTCCTCAACTTATTATTTTGTTGTTGTTAAGACGGAGTTTCGCTCTTGTTGCCCAGGCTGGAGTGCAGTGGCGCGATCTCGGCTCACCGCAACCTCCGCCTCCCGGGTTCATGCGATTCTCCTGCCTCAGCCTCCCAAGTAGCTGGGATTACAGGCGTGAGCCACCACGTCCGGCTAATTTTGTATTTCCAGAAGAGAAGGGGTTTCACCGTCTTCGTCAGGCTGGTATCGAATTCCTGACCTCATGTGATCCTGCCGCCTCAGCCTCCCAACGTGCTGGGATTACAGGCGTAAGCCACCGCGCCCGGCCTGTCCCCGACTTATTAAATGCTCAGACTAGAAAGGGAAAACCGAGAGGCGGTGTCGTGGGGAGCGCAAAGGGTTGGGGGGCGACCGCGCTGGGTCCTCCCCTTGGCACAGTTCCTCACGCTCCACCGCATGACCTTGAACAATTCGACTCTCCCTCTGTACCCATCTTCTCGACTACACACTAAGCTACTAGAGAGACGGTGCCCAAAGTGCTGGCCCTCTCCGGGAGGGTGCGGACGCCAGCCAGGCGGCCTCGAAAGCGGGACACCCGGCCCTTCGCAGCCCCCGCCCGGCCCCTCCGCACCTCGCAGCGCCTGCCCGCCACGCTTTGCCTCCTCGTGGCCCGCCGGACTCAGATCGGCGTCGTACCAGCCGCTAAAGCGGTTCTCCAAGTTCCACGCGCTCTCGCCGTGCCGGATCAGCACCAGTTTGTAGGCGGCCATGGCTGCGGGACGGGGATGCGGCACCGACTAGGGTTCGCAGATTCCGGAGTGGCAGCCAGCCCCCTCGGCCGCGCCTGCGCGCTCGCACCGCACAGTCCGGCTCCCGCGCAGATTCTTTCCCAAATCTTTCCGCTGGCTCGGGACCGCCCTCCGCCCGCCAGGTGTACGCATGCGCCGCCTACAGGCGCTGAGACCCCGGAGGGGAGAGGGAGCGCTCCGGCATGCCAGGGCGCATGCTCCCTGCTTTGCCAGTCCCGCGTCTGCCGCGGCGGTCACGGAGCGCACGTAAGCACGGAGGACGGAGGGCAGAGGGCGGCGGGTTCTAGGGGAGGCGCCAGTCCGCTGGCTGCCGCGCTGCTCTGGAGCCACTCGGCGAGATTAAGTGGCCCTTATCACTGAAAACGCTCCCATCCCCACGCAGAGATTGATTCACAGACTTGTGTTTGAGTCTTCACTCGTGCATTCTACTTGCTTTGAATCTTCGGGCAAGTCGGGAAACCTAAGCCTCATCCGTAAAAATGGGATCATAAAACTTACCAGGTACCTGGAAGTGCTTAGTAAGTAATAGTTTTTACTATTAGTGTCTCATTTCAGCAGGACACTGATCTTTTTACTCCTAGTTTACGGGTAAGGAAACTGACCGTGACCCTGCTGATCCCAGAACCTGCTCATTTTCCAGCACGGGTCTCTATCCCGTCTCTGTCTACAGTCTTAACACACGTCAAGTCAGTGCTTTCTGGGCCTCCAATAAGGAAGCAAACGCTAGAACTCTTAAAATATTTTAGAAAGGGGCAAAATCTGATCACTGCCTGTCCTTCTCCCAGTCCCAATCACCAATTTATCGTAATTTTTTTTTTTTTTTGAGACACAGCTGTCCCCCAGGCTGGAGTGCAGTGGCACAATCTCAGCTCACTGCAACCTCCACCTCCCGCTTTCAAGCGATTCTCCTGCCTCAGCCTCCGGAGTGCACCACCACCCACGGCTAAGTTTTGTAATTTTGGTAGAGACGGGGTTTTACCACGTTGGTCAGGCTGGGATCAAACTCGTGACCTCAAGTGACCCACCGATGTCCCAAAGTGCTGGGATTGCAGGCTTGAGCCACCTCGCCCGTCCTTCTTTTTGTTTTTTGAAAAAGAGTTTCCCTCTGTTGCCAAGGCAGAGTGCAGCAGCACGGTCAGAGCTCACTGCAGCAGTCTTGAACTCCTGGGCTCAAGCGATCCTCCTACCTCAGCTTCTTGAATAGTTTTTTTTGTTAGTTTTTTGTAGAGACAGGTCTCACTATGTTGACCTGGCTGGTCTCAAACTCCTGGCTTGGGTCTCACTATGTTGACTGAGCTTGTCTCAAACTCCTGGCCTCAAGCAGTCCTCCAGCAGCAACCTCCCAGAGGCACTGGAATGACTGGTGTGAGCCACTGTGGCAGGTCAATGTCCTGGTTGATTTCAATCTAGATACTTTAATGAGCACTCAACATGAGCCAGGCCATGGGCTAGACTCAAGGATGGGTTGAATATGTTTCCTGCCCTTCAAGCAAGCAGATGGCAAATAAGGCCCATGTATAAGTAGCCAACGATAGTATTGGTCTGGTGTGGTGACTCACGCCTGTATACCCAGCACTTTAGGAGGCCAGGGTGGGCGGATCATTTGAGGTCAGGAATCCGAGATCAGCCTGACCAACATAGTGAAATCCCCACTCTACTAAAAATACAAAAAAAATTAGCTGGGCGTGGTGACACGTGCCTGTAGTCCCAGCTACTCGGGAGGCTTGGGCAAGAGAAACGCTTGAACCTGGGAGGCGGAGGTTGCAGTGACCCGTGATCTCAGAGCTGCACTCCAGCCTGGGGACAGGGTGAGACTCTGTCTCAAAAACAAACACAACACTGGTTGCACTAAACCCTCACAAACAGGAGCCATTATGATAACGTAGCTGCAAACCACTCGTGTTTTCGTTCATGTTGTTCCCATAGTGCCTTTTCTCTGCCTCTCAAATCCTTCCACACTTAAAAGTCAACAAATGCCAAAAATACAACAAAAACTTGGAGGTCACAGACAATAGTGGCATAAGAGCATGGTCTTAGGAGTCAGCAGCCTGGGCTTGAGTCCTGATTTCTGTCACCTTGGGCAAATTTCCTCATCTGCAAGTGGGGAAAAGATATAACCTGTCTCAGAGGGTCTTCTGGAGATAGGATTGAATGAGTTGTTTGCAAAGCACTCAAAACGCTGGCAAGCAATAGGCGCTTTACTGGTATGTGTTAACTTTTCTAGTATTGCTGTCAAAATCTAGCAGGTGCGCCACCATGCCCAGCTAATTTTTTTTATTTTTAGTAGAGACGGGGTTTCACTGTGTTAGCCAGGATGGTCTCAATCTCCTGACCTCGTGATCTGCCTCCCAAAGTGCTGGGATTACAGGTGTGAGCCACCGCACCTGGCCAACTAGTGTTTTAATGTATGATTTCAGCCCCAACAATTCATATTATGTAAGAACTATTATAGCTACATTCCACAGATAAAGAAATCAAGGACCAGGGGAATCATTGTGCAAAGTCAGCTAGGAAGTGGAGGATAAATCAGGACTCAAACCCAGGCTATCCAGTGGCCTGGTCTGCACCCCCACCCTAGCATCCCTCCTTCGTAGCTAGGAGAAGATGGAATTCAGTAACTGGAGAGGTGGCTGGAATGAGGTGCAGCCCTGAAAGCTGCACCCAGAACTCACAGGACCCCAGGGCTGCAAAGCTAGAATGCCCTCAAAGGGCTCATGGTTCAAGCCCCCAGGGCTCCACCGCTATGGGAGTTTCACTGAGGAGCCTGTCTCATAGGAGGTTCTCCCTCTGATCTTTCCTGCTGTTCCCTCATCCTAATCTGTTGTTCAGGCACTCCCAGGGAGAGTTTTTCCAGCCTTAACCTTGACTTTTTGTCCTGCCTTGCCCCAAATCCACACTACTAGCCTGACTCCTACTGTTTTTTTCTCCTCCTCCTGCTCTCAAGAAATTCAAGATTCTGTGTGCTTGTCACCTCATCTCCTCACTGAGTTCTCTCATTTCTGTATTGAGTAAGAAGTATGAGTAGGAAGAAGATGCTCGGAAACTCAAGTTCAAATGTTCCTGTCTGGTTAGCTCTGGGGCCTACCATGACTCACTCAACTTCTAATCCTGTTTCCTGTCTGTAATCATATTCATACCCACCTAAGCAAAGCCCTGCTGGAAGAAATAGATGAGATGATGAATGGAAGCAACTAGTCATGAATTTTAAATATATGATTGACATTATATATATATATTTTTTTTGAGATGGAGTTTCACTCTTGTTGCCCAGGCCAGAGTGCAATGGCATGATCTCGGCTCACTGAAACCTCCACCTCCTGGATTCAGGCGATTCTTCTGCCTCAGCCTCCCAGGTAGCTGGAATTACAGGCCTGTACCACCACGCGTGGCTAATTTTTGTATTTTTGGTAGAGACAGGATTTCATCATGTTGGCCAGGCTGGTCTCGAACTCCTAACCTCAGGTGATCCACCTGCCTCAGCCTGCCAAAGTGCTGGGATTACAGGCTTGAGCCACCATGCACCCCCCCCTCACCTGAGATTTATTATGCATGCCTCAGAGCTATTCAACTGCAAACTCCTTATGGATGGGCACTTCATCTCAACTATTTCAACTGCAAACTCCTTATGGATGGGCACTTCATCTTAACTATTTCATACACCCCACACAGGGACCTGCACTTAGTATGATGTGTTTGTCCTTCATAAACTCCCTGAGTCCCCGAATGTCAGAGCTGGGAGAGACCTTGAAAATCCTCCACTACAAATCCCCACCCACTTCCTGCCACTCACGATTCACATTTTACAGATGAAGAAACTGAGAGGAGCCATTCAAAAGGGCAGATGAGGCTGGTCCGAAGGTAGTGAGGTATTTCAGTTGGTTGTTCACAGTCATTTACAGATCGAACTCCTTGTTCTACCCGTTCTCCCCTTCCTACTGCACTTGACTACTCTTTAAAAAAATTTTTTTTACATAAATAAAAGCAGATCGGCCGGGCGCGGTGGCTCAAGCCTGTAATCCCAGCACTTTGGGAGGCCGAGGCGGGTGGATCACGAGGTCAACAGATTGAGACCATCCTGGTCAACATGGTGAAACCCCGTCTCTACTAAAAATACAAAAAATTAGCTGGGCATGGTGGCATGTGCCTGTAATCCCAGCTACTCAGGAGGCTGAGGCAGGAGAATTGCCTGAACCCAGGAGGCGGAAGTTGCAGTGAGACCAAGATCACGCCATTGCACTCCAGCCTGGGTAACAAGAGCGAAACTCCATCTCAAAAATAAACAAATAAATAAAAGCAGATGAACAAGAGACTAGATTTATCAGAGGTGATCCACTGGGAAGAGTTCCAAAATCAGGGCATCCTGCATCAGAAGAGAGAGAGGCAGGCAGGGCACGGTGGCTCAAGTCTATAAACTCAGCACTTTGAGAGGCTGAAGTGAAAGGATGGCTTGAGCCCAGGAGTTCAAGGCCAGCCTGGGCAACATGGCAGATCCCCATCACTACAAAAAATACAAAAATTAGGCCAGGTGTCGGTGGCTCATATCTGTAATCCCAGCACTTTGGGAGGCCGAGGTGGGTGGATCACGAGGTCAGGAGTTCGAGACGAGCCTGGCCAAGACGGTGAAACCCCATCTCTACTAAAGATACAAAAATTAGCCAGGCGTGGTGGCAGGCACCTATGATCCCAGTTCCTTGGGAGGCTGAGGCAGAGAATTGCTTGAACCTGGGAAGCAGAGGTTAGAGTGAGCCGAAATCATGCCATTGCACTCCAGCCTGGGTGACAGAGTGAGACTCCATCTCAAAAAACAAAACAAAACAAAAATTAGCTGAATGTGGTGGTGTATGCCTGTAGACCCAGCTACTCCAGAGGCTGCCATGGGAGGACTGCTTGAGCCTAGGAGGTTGAGGCTGCAGTGAGCCATGATTGCACCACTGCGCTCCAGGCTGGGTTACAGAGTGAAACCTTGTAAAGAGAAGCAGGGAAGATCAAGGGAGAGAGGAGGAGAGGTTATGCCTGCCCTGTTGCAAGGACACCAAAGACTTTGCAGCCAGAAGCTAGACTACCTGGGCAGAGATAGGGATCCATTTAGTGCCCATCACAGCATTTTGAATCTGAGAAGAAGCGTAAAGCCTATCAAACTGAAGAAGTTTCTTGAATGCCAGTAAAGAGTTAGAGTAAACCAGTGTTTTTTGCTCTCTACTAATTTTTTTTTTTCTTATCTCTACTGAACATAGGACAAAAGGCATTTGTCAGGGTTGATTGCTGAAGCACTGGGTGCACTCAGGTGAGCATTACAGGCCTGAAAATAAATCAGGTGGGAGGGGCTTTGATCCCATCGTGGTCCCAGCACGTCCTGTGCCCTCCCCACCCTTCCAGCAAGCATCCTGAGGGATCCCCTGTACGGCTCCTCACCGGGGCACTGCCCTCCTTTTCTGTCCTGTAGGGAGTGAGTGGGGCCAGTAACTCCCGCTTCCTGCTTGGACTGCGGAGATGTCAGTGGGGGATCTGTGCTCCATGCCCTCTTAGCAGGCATTCCCCAAGCCAAGGCACTTATCAGTGACAGACTCCGGTAAAGAAAATCCTAACTGGGCCTTCCTCTCTACCTGAGGCCTCCAGCCAGCCCCTAAACCCTGAACTCTTAGGACACAAAGCTTCCCCTTGTAGAGCAGTGTTTCATTCAGGGAAATTCCCAGGACTTCTACAGCTTTCCAACAACAAGCTTATTGGTCAAACTGTTAGGAAAACTCAGATAAGGGGTAGGTGTGGTGGCTCACACGTGTAATCCATCCGAGCACTTTGGGAAGCTGAGGCAAGAGGATCAATTGAGCCCACGAGTTTGAGACCAGCCTGGGAAACATGGCAAAAACCTGTCTCTACAACAAAATACAAAAATTAGCTGAGTGTGGTAGTGAACACCTGTTCTCCCAGCTACTAGGGAGGCTGAGGTGGGAGGATTGCTTGATCTTCGGAAGTGGAGGCTTCAGTAAGTTATGATTGCACCACTGCACTCCAGTTTGAGCGACAAAGTGAGACCGTGTCTCAAAGAAAGGAAAAAGAAAAACAGTCAGATAAAGAAGCTAACCAGGGGCCGGGCGCAGTGGCTCACACCTGTAATCTCAGCACTTTGGGAGGCCAAGGCAGGCGGATTACCTGAGTTCAGGAGTTTGAGACCAACCTGATCAACATGGAGAAACCGCATCTCTACTAAAAATACAAAAAAATAGCCAGGGGTGGTGGTGCATGCCTATAGTCCCAGCTACTTGGGAGGCCGAGGCAGGAGAATTGCTTGAAGCCAGGAGGTAGAGGTTGCGGTGAGCTAAGATCATGCCACTGCACTCCAGCCTGGGCAACGAGGGTGAAACTCCATCTCAAAAAAAAAAAAAAAGAAGCTAACCGGGAGTCACAGCACAGCCCTGTTACCCTCCACTGCCCCTTAGGCTAATAAAACCTTCCTTTCCCATTTATTTTTTCCACAGAAGAACTCCCTTGTCAAGTACTAAACATTCACTGAAGGCCCAGATTTAGAAAGAGCTGGGCAAACCAAGTTTTATGTTGGGTGGAAGGAGGAGTGGCTGCTGCTCAGCCCACAGGACTCCTGTGAGGACACCACATGTCCTTAGTTGTTAAACCATCTTGCAGACTCATCACCTGATGTTCAGATCTCCCAGCTCAGCTGGTGTCTGAGGAGGAGAGGATTTATGCCTCAGAGAGGGCGTGAGCCCAGATGATGCCTCAAGACTCAGGTTCTAGGTGAGAAAGTAGTGCTTCAGGGACTTCAACTGCCCCCGCCCAAAATGGTGTCACCATCTGCAGGTAAACAGAGCTGGAGCTGGTGCTGCCAGAAAGGAAAGAGGAGGGCTCTCTGGCAGGCTGCGGCTTCCTCAAGGACTCCCCTGACAGCACCCGGGCTTCCCTGATCCCAGCCCATTGTCAGCCTTAGGATAAGGCCTGGCTTTAGTCCAAGCCTTCTTTCTTTTTTAAATGTATGGCACTCTCGAAACCACCTGATGTGCACCAAGCCCTCTGCCACTAGACCCTGTGTGAAAACTGTAATGATAAAAATGCTCAAAGCAGGGCAATAAGCAAACATTTTGACCCTCTGCTTTCATTCAAGTAAAACTGATTTCCTAGCCTATATTATCTTAGATCACATTTTCTTTTTTTTTTTTTTTTGAGACAAGACCTCCCTATGTTGCATAAGCTAGTTTTAAATTCCTGGCCTCAAGGGATCCTCCTACCTTGGCCTCCCAAAGCACTGGAATTACCTGTGTGAGCCACTGAGCCTGACCTCAAAATTGCATATTAAAAGAGGCAGGCGGGGCCTGAGGTAATCTGTGAAAATGGTTCGCTATTCACTTGATCCGGAGAACCCCACAAAGTCATGCAAACCAAGAGGTTCCAATCTTCGCGTTCACTTTAAGAACACACGTGAAACTGCCCAGGCCATCAAGGGTATGCATATACGAAAAGCCACGAAGTATCTGAAAGATGTCACTTTACAGAAACAGTGCGTACCATTCCGACGTTACAATGGTGGAGTTGGCAGGTGTGCCCAGGCCAAGCAGTGGGGCTGGACACAAGGTCGGTGGCCCAAAAAGAGTGCTGAATTTTTGCTGCACATGCTTAAAAATGCAGAGAGTAATGCTGAACTTAAGGGTTTAGATGTAGATTCTCTGGTCATTGAGCATATCTAAGTGAACAAAGCACCCAAGATGCGCCGCCGGACCTACAGAGCTCATGGTCGAATTAACCCATACATGAGTTCTCCCTGCCACATTGAGATGATCCTTACTGAAAAGGAACAGATTGTTCCTAAACCAGAAGAGGAGGTTGCCCAGAAGAAGAAGATATCCCAGAAGAAACTGAAGAAGCAAAAACTTATGGCAAGGGAGTAAATTCAGCCTTAAAATAAATGCAACTACACGGAAAAGAAACAAAAAAAAAAACAAGAGGCAGGCGATCTGGGCACAGGAGGCATGTGCCTATAATCCCAGCTGATCAGGAGGCTGAAGCAGGAGGATGGTTTGAGGCCAGGAGTTTGAGGCTGCAATATGCTATGATCACACATGTAAATAGTCACTATCCCCCAGCCTGGGCAATAAAGTGAGACCCTGCTCTAAAAAAATTAAAAAAAAAAAAAAAACTGGCCAAAACTTTATGATTTGGGATTAATTTGCATCAGGTTTAGTGAATTGCTGGGAGGTTAGCAGTATGTTAGTCCAGGATCTCTGAGAAGCAGTTGCCAAGACAGGATTTGCAGGAAGTACGTTAGGAGAAGTGCCTGTGATGGGAAAGGAGGCTGGGAGCGCAGGTGTGATGCTGCATAAGGGAAGGAGGAAGGAAGATTTGGCGGGTGGCAGCGTCCTCTTAGATTGCAAATACACTTCTGGAGAAAATTCAGCAAGCCTGTGGGAGGCTATTCCAGCCAAAGTTACCCTTCAGAGGGGTCCTCAGGTTCCCAGGACCAGCCTGCTTTCACATCCTTGATTCAGGGATGCTAAGTCATGACTGGATGCGGCCATGGGCAGCACAGCCTCTGAATGCTGGGAGGGGCCCTCAGCCAATGAGCTCCCTGCCCTGGACATGGTGGCTTATGCTTATAATCCCAACATTTTGGGAGGCCGAGGCAGTTAGATCACTTAAGTCCAGGAGTTCAAGACCAGACTCTGGGCAACACAGTGAGATCCTGTTTTTAAAAAAATAAAAATAAAATTAGCTAGTATAGTAGTACATGCCTGTAGTTCCAGTTACTTGGAAGGCCAAGATTATGCCTCTGCACTCCAGCCTGGGCAACAGGGCAAGACCCTATCTCAAACACAAAAAAAATCAGCTCCTGCTCTATGAGATTTGAAGGGTGTATTCTCATGGCTGCAGCAGTATAGTCTATAAATCAATCATGTATTTTCAGGTCAGCATTCAGTGACTTCTGATTGACTAAGGAAAGCTATTAAAGGTACCTGCCAGCTGATGGCAAGGTGGCCAAGTATCCAATATTAAGGATTTTGTCAGAGGTGGAACAGGGGAACTGGTGGTTGTTATATTCCTTTTTTTGAGACAATCTTGCTCTGTCACCCAGGCTGAGGTGCAGTGTCGTGATTATAGCTCACTGTAGCCTTGACCTTCCTGGCTCAGGTGATCCTCCCACCTCGGCCTCCCAAAGTGCTGGGATTACAGGCAGGAGCCACCATGCCCAACTGACTGTTATATTTCTGACTGACGTGGAGGAAAATGTCCTGTCTCCCAGAGGTGTTATTGGGAGCAGGCTCAACACCATCCAGTCTAAGAAATATGAATAAGAAACAACCATCAGAAACCCACATGGGGCCAGGCATGGTGGCTCACGCCTTTAATCCCAACACTTTGGGAGGCTGAGGTAGGTGAATGACTTGAGGTCAGGAGTTTGAGAAAAGTCTGGCCAACATGGTGAAACCCTGTCTCTACTAAAAATACAAAAATTAGGCTGGGTGTGGTGGCACACGCCTGTAATCCCAGAACTTTAGGAGGCCAAGGCAGGCACATCACCTGTAGTCAGGAGTTTGAGACCAGCCCGGCAAACCCTATCTCTACTAAAAATCCAAAAAATTAGTTGGTTGTGGTAGCAGGTGCCTGTAATCCTAGCTACTTGGGAGACTGAGGCAGGAGAATTGCTTGAACTGGGGGAAAAGACATTCCAGTGAGCTGAGATGGTGACACTGCTGCACTCCAGTCTAGGCAACAGAGTGAGACTCCATCTAAAAAAAAAAAGTCGGACAGGGTGCAGTGGCTTACGCCCGTAATCCCAGTACTTTGGAAGGCCAAGGCGGGCGGATCAAAAGGTCAAGAGATCAAGACCATCCTCCCAACATAGTGGAACCCTGTCTCTACTAAAAAATACAAAAAAAATTAGCTGTGTGTGGTGGCATGCACCTGTAGTCCCAGCTACTCAGGAGGCTGAGGCAGGAGAATTGAACCCAGGAGGGGGAGATTGCAGTAAGCTGGGATTGTGCCACTGCACTCCAGCCTGGCACCTGGCGACAGAGCAAGACTCTGTCTCAAAAAGTTAGCCAGGTGTGGTGGCACACACCTGTAGTGCCAGCTACTCAGGAGGCTGAGGCTGGAGAATTGCTTAAGCCCAGGAGGTGGAGGTTGCAGTGAGCTGAGATCACACCACTGCACTCTAGCCTGGTGACGGAGCCAGACTCCATCTCAATAAAATAAAAAAGAAACCTACGTGAATTCCTTAATGGTTAAACATAGAGTTGCCATATGACCCATTCCCCTCCTACGTATATACTCAAGAGAAATGAAAACATGGCCACACAAAAATTCCTATACAAATGTTCATAGCAGCATTTTTCACAATAGTCAAAAGGTGAAAACAACCCAAATGTCCATCAGCTGGTGAATGAATAAACAAAACATGGCAGCCGGGCGCAGTGGCTCACGCCTGAAATCCTAGCACTTTGAGGGGCTGAGGTGGGCAGTTCACATGAGGCCAGGAGTTCAAGACCAGCCTGGCCAATATGGTAAAACCCCATCTCTCTTAAAAACACAAAAATTAGGGCCAGACACAGTGGCTCAAGCCTGTAATCCAAGCACTTTGGAGGCCAAGGTGGGAGGATCACCTGAGGTCGGGAGTTCAAGACCAGCCTGACCAATATGGTGAAACCCCCATCTTTAAAAAAAAAAAAAAAATTAGACCGGGCGTTGTGGCTCATGCCTGTAACTCTCAGCACTTTGGGAGGCTGAGGTGGGCAGATCACCTGAGATCATCAAAACATTCACTCTCAGAATTTGTTTTCCTTATGAAGGACCACGTTGGCTCTGGGGAGGGAAGACAGGCTGGATGGGGTCAGAATACCTGCCAGGCCCAGGTATTCAAAGGTCCAGTTTGTCACCTCCCCAAGATCCTGTGGCTGAGGTGTTTCCAACACGGGGATCAGGGAAGTTAGCTGTAAGTGAGGTCAAGGAGTTCAAGACGAGCCTGGCCAGCATGGTGAAACCCCATTTTAAAAAATATATATATATATACAAAAATTAGCCAGGTGTGGTGACACATACCTGTAATGCCAGCTACTCCTGAGGGTGGGAGTGCAGTGGCGTGTTCACAACTCACCACAGCCTAACTCTTGAGCTCAGTCCTCCCATCTCAGCCTCCCAAGTAGCTGAGACTTCAAACATGTGCCACCACACCCGGCTTTTTTCTTTTCTTTTTTTTTTTTTAAGAAATGGGTTGGCCTGGCATGGTGGCTCACACCTGTAATCCCAGCACTTTGGGAGGCCAAGGTGGGCAAATCACCTGAGGTCAGGAGTTCAAGACCAGCCTGGCCAACATGGAGAAACCCCATCTCTTAAAAAAAAAAAAAAGAAAGAAAGAAAGAAATGGGGTCTCACTATGTTGGCCAGGCTGATCTCAAGCTCCTAGGCTCAGGGGATCCTCCTGCTTTGACCTCCCAAAGTGCTGAGATCACAGGTGTGAGCTACACCCAGCCCTAAGTCCCATTTCTGATTTGGTATGTTCCTTACCTTACAGCTAACTTCCCTGATCCCTGTGTTGGAAACACCGCAGCCACAGGATCTTGGAGAGGTGACAAACTGGACCTTTGAATACCTGGGCCTGGCAGGTATTCTGACCCCATCCAGCCTGTGAGCTTCCCTTCCCGGAGCCAACGTGGTCCTTCATAAGGAAAACAACTTCTGAGAGTGAATGTTTTGAGCTACCAGTCACTTGAGAGGGGGAAAAAAGCTCATACCCACAGGAAAGACTTTTCTGTTGCCATGGCAACAGGTCACCACCACAACCGGTTTGAAGCTATTTAGTCAAGGACAATCCATCTCCCTTCAGCTGAACAGTTTTTCTCAGTGACTAGGCATTTTATAGCCAGCCAATCAGTAATAGCCATACTGGTTGACCAACCAATCTCTAAACACTACCTCCCTTGATATGTTCCCGCCATTAATCTTCAACCACCTAGCACCTTATATAAGATCAGTGCCCTGCTCCACCCACAGGGATTGCACCCAACAGGCCCAGCTCCACCTCCCTTAAGTAACTACTGTAGTAAATGCAGCTTTTTCGTTCAGATATTGAGAGGTGGTCTTTTCTTTAGACACACTCATAGTCTGGAATCTTGCCTTCTTGGGAGTGATCCATTCTCATTTCCTCTACAGTGTCATTGCCTCCATGCCTCTGAGCCTTTATGCCTGTATGCATCATCTGCCTCTATGGTATCACTGGTGAATGAGAAAGAGGCCAACTCTCGGGCACGGTGGCTCATGCCTGTAATCCTAGCACTTTGGGAGACCAAGGGGGAGAGATCACCTGAGGTCAGGAGTTCTAGTTCATCCTGGCCAATATGGTGAAACCCCATCTCTACTAATATACAAAAATTAGCTGGGTGTGGTGGCATATGCCTGTAATCCCAGCTACTCGGGTGGCTGAGGCAGGAGAATCGCTTGAACCTGGGAGGTGGATGTTGCAATGAACCGAGATCACGCCATTGCACTCCAGCCTGGGCAACAGAGCAAGTCTCTGTCTCAAAAAAAAAAAAATTACGGCCGGGCACAGTGGCTCAAGCCTGTAATCCCAGCACTTTGGGAGGCCGAGTGGGGCCGAGGTCAAGAGATAGAGACCATCCTGGTCAACATGGTGAAACCCCGTCTCTACTAAAAATACAAATAATTAGCTGGGCATGGTGGCGCGTGCCTGTAATCCCAGCTAATCAGAAGGCTGAGACAGGAGAATTGCCTGAACCCAGGAGACAGAGGTTGCGGTGAGCCGAGATCACACCATTGCACTCCAGCCTGGGTAACAAGAGCTAAACTCCGTCTCAAAAAAAAAAAAAAAAAAAAAATTAAAAATTAGCTGGGCATAGTGGCATACGCCTATAGTTCCAGCTACTTGGAAGGCTAAAGGGGGAGGATTGCTTGAGCTCAGGAGGTCGAGGCTGCAGTGAGCCATGATCACACTACTACATTCCTGCCTGGCAGACAGACATCAAAGATACACCTCAGACAGTCCCTCTTAGACACCCTGAGAGCTTTATCTGAACCTCTCTTGTGCCCCTTGCTGAGCTCTACATAAGTCATGTGTTCACCTGGCAAGCAGATGTATTGAGCCAGGCACTGTGGTAGGCTCTGATGGCACCAGAGTAGACCAGACATGGTTCCTGTAATCGGGGGTTTCACAGTCAGATAGTCAGATGGGGGAGGTAGAGAAGCAAAATCCAATTCTATTAATTGAAGATCAGGGAACAATAAAATAATGAGGGGCTTTAGAGACCTCTGGGTACAACATCTTCAATTTACAAGTGAGAAAATCAAGAGTTTTGGGCTTGTCTTTTCACTATTCCCCTGTAGGTTTCTTTTCTTTTCTTTCTTTCTTTTTTTTTTTTCCTTTTTTGGGACAGAGGCTCCTGCTGTCACCCAGGCTGGAGTGCAATGGTGCAATCTTGGCTCACTGCAACCTCCACCTCCCAGGTTCAAGCCATTCTCCTGCCTCAGCCTCCCGAGTAGCTGGGATTACAGGCGTGTGCCACCATGCCCAGCTAATTTTTGTATTTTTAGTAGAAATGGGGTTTTACCATGTTGGCCGGGCTGGTCTTGAACTCCTGACCTCAGGTGATCCACCTGTCTCGGCCTCCCAAAGTGCTGGGATTACAGGCATTGGCACTACACCCAACCAAGAGTCTTTTTAGATGGAGTTTTGCTGTTTTTGCCCAGGCTGGAGTGCAGTGGTACAGTCTGGGCTCACTGCAACCTCTGCCTTCCAGGTTCAAGTGATTCTCCTGCCTCAGCCTCCCAAGTGCCTGGGACTACAGGCATGCACCACCACACCCAGCTTCTTTTGTATTTTTAGTAGAGATAGGGCTTCACCATGTTGGTCAGGCTGGTCTCAAACTCCTGACCTCACGTGATCCACCCACCTCAACCTCCCAAAGTGCTGTGATTACAGGCATGAGCCAACGTGCCTGGCCATATGTTTCTTTGTATAATTTAATATGTGTGCTTAGCACAGTACCTTGCACATTATAGGCGCTCAAGAAATAACTTTTTGGAGCTGGGTGCAGTGGCTCACGCCTGTAATTCCAGCACCTTGAGAGGCTGAGGTGGGTGGATCACCTGAGATCAGGTGTTAAAGACCAGCCTGGTCAATGTGGTGAAACCCCGCCTCTACTAAAGACACAAAAATTAGCCAAGCCTGGTGGTGCATGCTTGTAATCCAAGCTACTCAGGAGGCTGAGGCAGGAGAAGCACTTGAACCTGGGAGGCGGAGGTTGCAGTGAGTCGAGATCATGCCACTGCACTCCAGCTTGGGCAACGGAGTGAGACTCCATCTCAAAAATAATAATAATAACTTTTGGGTTTGTAACTGGGTTAAATTGATCATAACCAGTCCTCCTAACACCCAGCTGAAATCCAGAAGCTGCTAATTGCCTCTCCAGTATCAATTCTCTACTTTCAATAGGCACGGAGGGTGGCTGCAACTTACCCAACTGAAAGACTGTATTTCCCAGCCCCTTCTGCAGCTAAATATGGCCAAATTAATAACTTCTAGCCAATCAGGTATAAGTGGAACTGACTTGGCTGGAAGATGCACCTTTTGGCTCTTCCTCCCTTCCTTCCTTTTTTTTTTTGAGACAGAGTCTTGCTCTGTCACCAGGCTGGAGTGCAGTGGCGCAATCTTGGCTCACAGCAACCTCTGCCTCCTGGGTTCAATTAATTCTTCCACCTCAGCCTCCCGAGTAGCTGGGACTACAGGCCTGTGCCACCACACCTGGCTAATTTTTTTTTTTTTTTTTTGAGACAGTTTCACTGTTGTTACCCAGACTGGAGTGCAATGGCACGATCTCGGCTCACCGCAACCTCCGCCTTCTGGGTTCAAGCAATTCTCCTGCCTCAGCCTCCCGAGTAGCTGGGACTACAGGCGCGCACCACCATGCCCAGCTAATTTTTATATTTTTAGTAGAGACGGGGTTTCACCTTATTGACCAGGATGGCCTCGATCTCTTGACCTCGTGATCCACCCGCCTCGGCCTCCCAAAATGCTGGGATTATAGGCGTGAGCCACCGCACCTGGCCTTAATTTTTGTATTTTTAGTAGAGATGGGGTTTCATCATGGCCAGGATGGTCTCGATCTCTTGACCTTGTGATCTGCCCACCTCGGCCTACCAAAGTGCTAGGATTACAGGTGTGAGCCACCACACCCGGCCCCTCCCTTCCTTCCTATGTAGACTAGGCCTTCACCTGGATCGTTAGTGTGACAGTTGGAGCTGCTGCAGCCCATCTGCGGAGGACAAGATGACACTGAAAATGGAAGTCATATGCTATGGAGGTTGAAGCAGAAAAAGACAGGGGTCTCAGGATCCTGAAGATTCTGTAGAGCTGCTGTAGCAGCCTAGACTGCCCATTACCTCCTGATTTCTGTTTCTTGAATGTGAAAGAATTAACACTTGCCTGTTTAAACCACTGTAGCAGTCTCTTATGGCAGCTGAACACAATTCCTTATTGATACAGAGGCCCTGAGAAGAATGAAGAATGTGAAGTGGTAAATGGGGAATGGTTTAATTTTGGAGTAAGTGGAGAGAGTCCCCCTTAAGCAGAGTCCCCCTGCCATGCCCAGATTCCTGTCTTCCTCAGCCTAGGAGGGAACTTGCTTCCTCTCCAGCATCCCTGGCTCTTTCCCCAAGAATTGCTCTGGAAAGCCAGCAATTTTTTGCTTTTGTATTTTTTTTTTTTTTTTTTTTTTTTTTGAGACAGGGTCTCACTCTGTCACCCAGGCTGGACTGCAGAGTGGCGCAATCATGGCTCACTGCAGCCTTGACCTCCTGCACCTCAGCCTCCCAAATAGCTGGGACTATAGGCGCACATCCCCATTCCCGGCTAATTTTTGTATTTTTTGTAGAGTTGGGGTTTCTGATGATGCACAGGCTGGTCTTGAACTTCTAGGCTCAAGTGATCCTCCCGCTTCAGCCTCCCAAAGTGCTGGGATTATAGGCGTGAGCCACCACACCCAGCATCAAATGGAATTCTAATGCCCCAGGAGCTGAGGGACGCATGACCCTTGCAGCAGTGCTGTGCCAGGCACTGGGCCAAGTATTTCACATGCATTATCTCACTGTAGTCTCATAACAACAACCCCATCTTCAGATGAGGAGACTGTGGCTCACAGAGCTTAGCCGCCTGCCCCGGGTCACACAGCTGGGATGTGGCTTCAAACCCAGGCTTCCTAAGTCCAAAGCCTGGGCTTTAACACAGCTCCAGCAGTTAGGAAAATCCTCCGGAGCAGCTGCAACCACAATGAGTTGGTCAAAATGCCCTGAGCCCTGAGCTTGAGCCCTAAGTTAAACACCCAGACCATCTGGTTCCTCTTTGAGGCAAGAGGCTAAGCCTCAATTTCCCTTTCCTCCTGTCCAGTGTCATAACAGATTACAACTTGCTGACCTAAAACTGATCTTCCTGCTCCCCATGGCCTCAGAACTTTGGGTGTGGCATCTCTGTTCCCTCCACAGGAGCTTTGCAGACAGTTTTAAGAGCAGTGCTACATGGGGAGGGGTCCATTCTGGGCTAAGAGTTGAATCTCCTGGCTTCTGCTCCACTATGTGACCTTGGGGATGTCACTGAACTCCTTGGAACTGTGTTTCCCCATCTGGGAAATGAGAATAGCTGCTCTGTCCTCCTCACTTAGAGAATGAACAAAAAGATTCTTTGGAACCCAGGAAGAGTTTTTTGGATAGTAATAATAGCTCACATTTATTGTATGCTCACTGTGTACCAGGCAGTGTGCTCAGCACTTTAAATTTATTATCTTATTTAGTTCCCTTAAACCATATGGGAAGGCATTCTTATCATCTCCATTTTACAGATGTGGAAAACTGAGGCTCAGGGAAGAGTAAGGTGACTTGTTCAATGTTACAGAGCAAGTGGTGGTACTTGAATTCCAACCCAGAGAGTCTAACTGCAGGACCTATCTCCTATAGATGTGAGTGGTCCTTTTTTTTTTTTTTTTTGAGTTGGAGTTTTGCTCTTGTTGCCCAGGCTAGAGTACAATGGTATGATCTCAGCTCACCACAACCTCCTCCT